AAGCATTTTAATAGCTAATTCCAATTGTTGTACACCCGGTTCCTGGTTCATTTAGCAGCTAAGCAAACGTGGAGCTTCAAGAATTTCACTCGAGCACACACAAACACACAAATATCTGCATAAATGAGGCCATTATCTCAAGGTCGTTTTCAATTACTGTTGCGGTTTCGGTGTTGCTTTTGGTGGTTTTGTATGCCCTTTGTCGCGGGGTATTATAGATTTCTCGGGAATCATGTGATGACACATGGCGGGAGAGAATTTCGGGCAGGTTTATAACATTTTGTTAGGAATTCTAAACTCCAATATATATCTATATATATTTTGATATAACTCGCTATAGATACTCTATATACTAATATACATATATAGAAGTCAATTTGGTCAAATCGTTGTATCACCTAGCTGTCATAGGAACTGGCTGTGGAAAATAAATTATATAAATCTGTTTATTATTGTAATGATACATGTTGTATCATGTGTAATATTATATATAAATATATTCGATAGTAATTTAAGAACTTTTCTAAAGTACGCTAAATATCGATATGTCGATACCAATACTAAGATATGATATAATAACAAATAATAATAATAGCTTTTTTCCAATATGTGCATAATATCGATAGTTATTAAAGAACATTTTGTTAACTTATTAACTTTTGTTAATTTATTAATTATATGAAAGGAGATCGTGTTAGGGCTTATCGAAGGAAGGAGGGTCGGGATTGCGCATCGAACGATACTGTTCACAACATTTTCTTATATATGTATATTTATTATAAGAATAGTTATATATCGGCTTGATACTTATTTATGATTTTTCTAAAGAACTCTATGTATCGATAATAAAAGAGATCGCGTAGGCGTTTTGTCGAGTAAAGTGGACTCGAGATGCTATCTACATTAACATCTATTGTTATAAGAGTATTTATACTTCGACTAGCGACGCCCACATTTTTATGGTTTTCGGTTAGGTTCGGTTCGGTTCGTATACGTCTATTGTATGGGGCTGTTTTTTTTTTTGCTAAAGCGCCCACATGCTTTCGATTTCGCTTTCGTTTTTTGCCTGCTTGTTTTTTTTTTGTTGTACTTTATAATTCTTGTTGTGTTTTTGGCAAACAACCTTGATAAACTATTTTTATCAGTCAGACAAATGGGGCCAATGGCAAACGCCCGCCCATTGCCCATTTGTTTGGGGTTAGTGTGCCAATTAACGATTAGATATCTCGCAGTTCTATTCTATTCTATTCTCTCTCTATATATATACACAAATATACATATATAGGCTAATGGCATGCGGCGAACATTTCGCAGCTGGGAAATTTGAGATTTTTCGGGTGAGGTAAACAAATTATCTATGCAAATAATATGCATATTGCTCTGCAGCAAAAGTGCGTAATACTGTAAAATTCTGTTGTGGGCGTGGTCGTTGAGGGGGGCGTGGGTGGAGGGGGGTGGAGGGAGTCTTGTTGTCTCTATTAATAATAGAAAATTTTGTATGCAATTGATATTTGCCCTGAGACTATGAAAAACAATGCAAGAGACTGCGTCACAACAGCCGCAACTTTATTTAAGGTCCGTTGGGGAGTGTGGGTGGAGAGGGGGATGGGGGCGCGGTGGGCGGTGGGCGGTCTAGAGCGGGCGTCAACAATTAAAAATGCGTTGCGCAGAACTTGGTAAGAGCATGCGGGCATCAAATCGAAACATGTTGTTGACATTCTCAGCCCTGACCCAGAAATTGTGCTCAGTGTAGTTTATAATGGTATGTAACAATGTGCTAAAACGTTGGAGGACCGTTTAAAGTAGTGTGGGTAAACACACAGAAACCATAAGAAGCTCAGCTATTTATAGAAATACAAAAATAAACGCAGAAGTTGAAAGATGAAATGAGAAAAAAATAAATAAATAACAATAAATAAATCTAAATCGGAACTGTAAAGATTTTTATTATATGACTAGATCAAGCTTAGGCAGAGAAGAATGAAGAAGAAGAATTAAAACGAATCATTATTAAAAAGCATTTATAACTAAGTTAGAAATAGCTAGAAAAAAAAAAAAAAATAAATATTAAACATAAAAATAAATAAAGAAAAAATAAAAATTAAAAATAAATAAAACATTAAAATAAATATAAAATAATAATAAGTAAAAAAAAAACATAATTAATTAAAGCAAATAAAAAATTAAAATAAATAACAAATAAAAATAAACAAAAAATTAAACTAAATAAAAAATACTATATAAAAAATATATAGGAAAAGAAATATATATTAAAACAGAAGTGTTTCATATTTTATGTTAATATATAATATATAAAAATCTAAAAAATGTATGAAAATTAAAAAAAAACTAAAAATATATAAATATTAAAGTGAAATCAAATTTAAAATACTATTAGGTAAAATTCATGGAGTTCTTTCGAAGGCAGTGCTGAAAATAATAAAGATTATAAAAAGTAAAGATGTTACTTTCTAAAGAAATCTCAAAATTTTGAGCTGAAATAAAATTTGTATAATATTTATAAATACTTAATATGCCTCACGTCAAAACAAAATGAACAAGATAGAAATGAATAAAAGCATATAAATAAATAAATAAATTATTAATGACAATATTACAAATTAAATATATATATTATTATTCAAAATGCTTGGGAACAGTTAGGAAAGTGTTTAAGAGAAAATCAGACCAATAGATAAAGAAATTTAAACATAAAAGTTGCGAAAATCTGAAGAATTCTTTTAACTACAAATTTCCAAATTTTGAACGGAAATCAATATTTCGTTCTTTTATACAACTTATTTTTCAGTATGCCACATGTCAAAACATAAAAAATCCTTTAAAGTAAATGTGAAAAGGAAATGTCACAAAAAGTGCGCAAAGCAAACAAAAATTGTAGAATTTCAGATGAAATCGTTAAGCACAAAATGTTTCTATTTGCTTCGGCTTCGGTGGAGACAAAGTCTCAACATCTGGCGGGGCCAGGAAATGCGGCGATGACGTTTCACGCTGACTTATCACAGCCACACGCAGTGTTCCCACTCTCTCTCTCTCTCTCTCTCTCTCTCTCTCTCGCTGTCTTGTTCAGGCTGTTCTCACTTATTTGCTGCTACTGCTCTTCATATTGCCGCTGGGGTCACTGGCAGTTATCGCTGCAATTTTGTAATCAGTCGCCGGCTCAAGGTTAACAGCTAGCTAGCCCCTCGCCCTCCCCACCCCCTGTACAGCTCGCACTTCCTTCGCCTCTAACCGTTGCTTTTTCACACTCTTTTCATCATTGCATTTCATTTGCACATATTGACAGTCGCCATGTTTGTTGTTTTGCTCTTTGCATCTGTGTTTGCGCTCTCTTTAAACTGTATTTCACTTTTCATTTGATTTTATTGTATTTCATTTCTTTTATTTCGTATTTATTTTTTGTTTTTTTCTTTTCTGGGTCATTTGCCCGTCTGGCAAAGCGGCAATTTTTTGCATATTTGTTTTTTATTGTCACTTTTTGTTAATTTAGATTTATTGCCATTTAAATGCACTTCCATTGTATTTACTGCAACTTTTTGGAGCTTTTTATTACTTTTTATTTTTATTTTTTGTTTATTTTCCATTTCTTTGGTTTTCATGTGGCAGGCCCATCGATTAGCGCTGATTGCGGCAAGTAAGCCTAATGAGCTCGGCAGACAACAATACTTTCTGGCAATCGACTTTATAAAAAGTCATTTAAAAGCAATTTGAAACATTTGCCGAAGTCGTATTCAAATTTTCTTCCTCTTGGCTTTTCCATTAGACGGCTTAAAAGCAAGCATTTTCAGTATGAAAAAATGTCTATATAAAATGATATAAATTGAACTCTTATCACACCTAAAACACACTTAAATTGAATTGGTTCAAAACTTGGTTCGTTACAAAAACAATTTAATATGAACCAATTATGTCTGTGATGAATAAAGGTTTCAACCAAGAACTGGGCACATGAATGCACATGAATTTATGCAAGTTCAAACTCAACTTCACAAATCGAATCCACATAAAGGTTCTAACCATGCATTGAACCAGCAAGAATTTTTGTGTTGTTCTCAGCCTTGGTTTCTATTTCCTTAATAGAAAAATTTCTTGAATTCCTGATATTGACACAATATAGGAAAATCTAGATACATCATTTGTTGATTAGCTAAATGTCCATGTCCGAGGCACGCTCGATGGAACTGCAAATCGATATATATATCGATTGTAAATGTAATTGTAAAACAAATTGTAAGAACTTAACAAAAACTATCAAGTAAAAGTGCTCTAGTCGGGAGTGCCCGACTTGGGGTTGCCCAGAACCTTCTCGCAATGGGAGCAATTATAAAAATCTATTAAGAGTAAAATTAGGTACTATAGCAGAATATAGTATGTATAAGTGCAAGGTTAGCTGTATGAAGACGCATGTTAACCGACATTTATTAAAGTCTATCGATAGACCAGAAAAAGATACGGCGGACAAGCTAGAATGAAGAATCAACCTAATAAATGTTTTGTGAAATAAAGAAACGAATTCAAAGATCTAAATACATCTAAATACATCTGTATATAGTATTATAGAAGCAACATGTCAAACTTGTCGATTATTATCGATTACACGGAAATGGGACAAGTTGTCGACTATCGCACAAACAAAATTATACTGTACGGGCGCTAGGAGAGCCACGTCCAATTTTTTTTTCAAGTCTCTAGCTCTTAGAGGTTCTGAGATCCTTGCGTTTATATTATATATATATTATATACGGAAGGATAGATGGAAAGACGGACAGAGAGACGGATGGACAGATGGAGAGACAATCATAGACACATCGACTCGGCTATTGATGCTAATCAAAAATATATACTCTAAGGGGTTGGAGTTGCTTCCTTCTGCCTGTTACATACATGTGCACAAAAACATTATACCCTTTTTCCCAATCTCAATGGGTCTAGCGTATAAAAAAATCGAATCACCCTTAGCTTTGACTTTTTAGTCAAATTTCAAAGATAATTTTTGGAAAACTGTGTTGAAATTAAATTAGAAATTTGGAATATGTAACAAACTGAATACATTTCGAGCACTAAATTTTAAGGTACCAGAGACCTATATTAACTCGAACGTGTGATTGGGTAATCCAAAAAGGTAGCAAGATATAATTAAATAAAAACAACAAATTTGCTTATAATTCCCAATCAGTTATAGGCTTAAGCCAACGATGGGGATCTGGTGCACGGCTGTTGAAGGCAAAGATAATTGATTTACATTTAATTTAATGACGTTTAACTGTGTATTTCCCATAAGTTTTACATAAGATACCAGTTAAAATGCTGTAAATACACACACTGTGAAATAAATATATAACACGACGACACACTGAAATGTTGATCATATGGATGCATTTGATCTGCCAACTATTCTTCTCTTGCTTTGCTCTCTCACTGAATTCCAATAAACGAACAGAACTATCTCAAACCGGAATTAGATCATGCCTGAAACATGTTTATATAAAAAATATACAAATTAGATGTGTACAGAAAAAGCGCTTGGTTAAAATATGCTAGTTTAAAGTTGTTCCTACAAAAAATTAATTTTCGAGCGATCTATGCCAAAACCCAATGTTAAACAAGAATAAATATTCTAAATTTGGTAAAACTAGCTCTTATAATTTTCGCTTTGTCTCAAAATCGATATTTATCGATATTCCGAATATGTACTGAGATATTGAAAAATCATGATAAAATCATTCTGCGTATTATATACGAGAATATATAATTCACATTTTGTGAAAGATGCTTTTATTATGCATTTCTTTCAAAATCGATATTTATCGACTCGTGCTGCGTATAACATACGTGAATATTTATTTAAAGGCTGACGGACAGGCAGACAGACAGACATAAAAGCAGACATATGAAGGGAGCTAGATCCGTACAGCTCATCATCCAGTTCAAGGATTATCATAACGAGCTCGCAGATTGCCCTCTAATACCCTCCGACAAGCTAAACATGTAACATACCCTGCAATTTGGCCAACTGCTCGGTAGTCATAACAATGGGCATCATACGATCCGGATCGCCATTTAACACCAATTTGGGATCGGCTATGGGCCCCATATAGCATTTACGCATCTTCAGATACTGCACCCAGACATTTAACGATTGCTCTGGAGATTTGAGTTCTTGGCCGCCAGCGTTGCGCAGATTGACATCGATATCGATGAGTCCCTCGTTGAGGAAGACCTGTCGTGTCAAATGGATGTGACGATTGGTAATATAAATGTTCGACGGCTGTTGGTCCTGCACGCGCTGTGCCAATCCCTGAATCTGTTGATCCTGCAGTACGGTGCGCATAAAATTCTCACTGATCAAGTGGAGATTGCAATCGCGTAAATCTCGCATCGATTGCTCCAGTCCGCAGTTCTTTTCGCGCAATGCCTGCAGCTGAGAGTCCAATTGCTTTTTATCCAGCTCGTAGAGTTTCAAAGTCTTCTCCCATTCCTCGTTGAGGACACGCATATCGCAGCTGCGCTCCTTGGAGGCAATTTTGGCGCTCAAATAGCGCTCCGATAGTTCCGTGAATTTCGATAGCGCATAGATGCATGCAAAGATCCAAAAGAAATGCAAATATACATCAATCGAGCTGGTCTTGCAGCCTTCCGTAAATGGATCCTGCAGTTCATTATCTAATGTATGATTATTAGTATCCATATTGAATAAAATTCTTGTCTTTTCCTCTTATGTATCGTGTGAGAATACAGTTTATAATATGCAATGATAATTTTTCCTATATGCTATGTATGTCATCTAACAACGCCTGCCCTGATCTTAATTCATATTTCGACTCACCTATGAGCTGTTCGTCCTCTTCGCCCCCCAACAGCTGTGAATAGTGAAAGACGAGCCAAATAATTAGAGCCAGTCCGAAACTGATTGTCCAATTTGCAAAGCCCTTCATCTTGCCGGTGATTTTCGGTTGAAATCTTCTAAAATGGTTTGCGAGAATTTTGTTTAGTTTATTGGAATATAAGTTATCAATTTTGGATTTTGTACTACATTTTAAGCGCTAGGCCTACTGTAAGATCAATTTTGTATAGTTTCATATATTCCTTTGTTCAAATTTGAAGAAATTGTATTACTCTGGGTTTTTTTATTTTATGGTATATTCACTTCCACATGCGGAAAATGGGTGAAAAACGGAAAAAATGCAAGTATGCCTATATTTAATCTTGAGTGTTTTTAAGTTTCCCCATATTTATTCATTTATCCCCCCTCCCCCTCTTAACCTCTTACCCTTGCTTGCACACCCACTCTTTGGCCTTGTCAGCGAAACTAATTAATGGCTTGACTCGCTAATTTACTTATTCTTTGTGAATTATGACAGAATGTTGTCGAAGACCCCTTCAACTCCTTTGCCAAGCTGGGACTGTCTGGCAGCTCCGTCCTGAGCATAGCAAATCAGGGTGTTAAAGTAGGGCATGCTCGACTTGCAGTCACCATATATAATTGTGCCTCAAGCAGAACCAAAATATCTTATAGTGAAATCGAACCAGCTGCTTCCAGGTCCGATGTCTAATTTATTAAAATTTAAAATGTAAAAATAAATTTAAAAAAAAATATTTAAATCCAAAAAAAAATATATAAAATATATGTACACATATATATAAAATTAAATTTAAAAAAAGGTTAACAAATATTTAGCATACAATTTTTGTTCTTTTTCATATTAAAATAAAGGAGTTCATTTGTTTTTAGGAATGCAATAAAAAAACGAATTTCCTCCTTCAGTCAATCTATCAGTAAACATACCTCACCCTAACCATTATTACAGGGCATATCCCACATTGAGCCAAAACTTCGCCGACCCAATTATAATTGCATAAAAGAGAAAATATATTTTACCAAATTTCGTATTTTGATTAGGACAAATTTGTTACGTCGCGCGTGTTAATCAAAACAATGGTGATATATTTACTTTTTTGCAGACAAACAGCCGCTTTACCCCTTTAACCCTTCAGTGTGAGGGTCCTTTGAGCTTAGACTTTTTGTGGAACTTATTTAATATGAGTAAATAGGGTATATTGGTTTTGTGCAAATGTATGTAACAGACAGATGAAGGCAATATCCGAACCACTTTAAGGGTGATGCAATTATATACATATAATAGATTGTATATATAATATATGTGTATATATTCTTGACCAGCACGACGAGTTGATATATAGATATATATATATATAGAAGGAAAGGAAATGTATATAGATATTCTATAGTCTATCTAGCCATGTCGTTTCCATAAATTAGATAAGCTAGAGACTTTACATCTGAAATACAATGAAAACTCTCGTGACGGACAGCTGCTGTCTGGTCATTTTGGTCCGCTCAATAGGGATGTCCTCCTAATAGAGGCTGAATATATCAGGTCACATATTCATCTTGGTTGGATAGAAAATGTACGCTATAGAGAAATGTTCGCCCAATAGGAGTGTCCGTTAGGCTTGTTTTTAATGTATATATTTTACTATATTATATACAAAAGCTTAACAATTCTTGCGATATCTTCTCCTAGTACCATAATATCGATAAATATAAATTTTGAGATATGATTTTTTTAACCATAGCTTGCGCATTATAAGAATTGGTCACACTGAACTTCATATGTAGGCTCTCGCATTGAACGAAAATATAATTCTTCTTTAATAGTTGCCCGTAAATCTATCAATATGAAAAATAAACTCACTTTTAAAGTAAGGGAGTTAATCAAGAATGAACTTTCTACAAAGAGTGTGGGGCCAAAATGGAAGAAGAGATAGAATGCTTATAAATCTAGCACGTCGCTAAGATAAGGGTATTCACTAGTCGGCATTGTACACATATTTGTTATTTTATTGAATTTGATGATTTAGCTGTTGCTTGATTATGGCTTAATAATTGCATTTGACTATAATAAGCTTTTGTTTTAGACTCATTCATTTATAAGCCAGCTCTAATTTATTGTTTTTTGGCAAGTGGTGTGAGTGTGTGCGCGTGTCTGTGTTAGTTAGTTCGTGTGTGGTTTTTCCAGCACTTTGTTGATTTAATTAGGTAAAACTTTGCGGCGCACAAAACGCCAAAATGAGTAACAACCGCAGCGACAAGTCGTTCATTGAACTGGCGGCGCAACTAAATGAGTGTAAATCCGAGTGTGAGTATATGAATATACCACATACATATATATATATTCGCATATGGGCGTATTAGGTCGGGAGAGGGCGGGCAGGGGGGCCAAAGGGCAACTCGTGACATCTGCGGCCTCCGTTTGGTGAGCTTGACAGTCAGTTGTCAAGACTCCAAAAATATATTTACCTATATATGTATATACACTCGAGTTTCTACGACTATTTGCATTTGTTTGCAACCGGAAAATGATTCACGTTTTTTGTTGACAAAACAAATATTTGTCATGTGCACATCAAATTTATTAAATACTTTTACGTTTTTTTATTTTACCTCAAGTGCATTTACTGCATATTTAAGAAGGCTAACTGGTTTTTTACTTGAGTTCAAAATGTTAATTTTTACATTTTCTTAAAAAAAAATATCACTTTAAAAATGTGTACAAAAAAAAGGTATATCGATAAACTTGTCGATATATTTTTGATATACCATTTACATATATACTCAGAGAATGCTCGTCGATTTGGATTGCATTAAAGTTGTATCAATAAGCACTTTATATTTCCTAAATATACATATTAAATATTGACCGTAAGAGAGCCCTAAATCGATAACTGTTAATAACAATCGATAAGCGTGATTATTCGATTATGTTAGAAATATTATTTTCCTCTAAAAACGTTGATAGATATTTATATTTACAAGGAAACAAGGATTTGATAAATAAGCATAAAGTGTTATCGATAACTGCAAATAAAAATCGATAAGCGATTGTGAAAATTCGATTTAGAATATTTCTTTTCGTCATTAAAAGCAATCGATAAGCACTTATATATATAATATAAAATGTTATCGATATTTTTGAATTAAAAATCAATAAATATGATTTTTATCTCGATTCGGTTATGTTATTTTCTTATCTAAATTTACAATAATAATTGCATTCAATATTTAAGTATCCCTAAACGAATTGAAAATTCGATTTTGAATGTTTCTTCCTATCATTAAAAATGATCTACAAACAAATAAATTTACAATAATAAATGTATTTACATTTATATTTACAATAATAAATGAATTCGATATATAAATATAAAAAGGCGAATTAAAATAGTAGAACATAATGAATTGTTGACTTGAGGAGCGCATAAATAAATGACTTTTGTGTTTATATTCGGCTCTTAACAGTTGATTAAATATGTGAATTTTAAAAATAATTTACACGAGCATATCGGTGGGCATGGGGGAGGTGGTGGCTGGAGAATGTGGTTAAAGCGACGCAGATTGCGTGTGACAAGTGCAGTCAAGTGCGTAGCTATTTCAGAATGCCCTTGCCCCCGTTGCCCTCCGTTTCCCTCCTTTACCCCCTTTGCGCGCCCCTTTCCCAACTGGTTGCATGCAACAAATTGTGTGCAACGGCCAGTGACCAGCCCGAAACCCCACTGAACACACGATTTCTGCAACTGCGTCGCAATTTTGGCCAGCAAAGGGCCTTGAGCTGTGTGGGCGTTGGCGCGTGTTTGTGGGCGTGTCCAGGATGAGAATCCTGTAATTCATTGCCGCAGTCCTGGGGCTCAACTCGCAGGATGTGTAAACACACGTTCTCCACGCAGCTTGCAGCTATGCAAACCGAAATGAACTTGCAACAGGTGGCACGTTTGCTTTGCTATCGATAACATAGTGGGTGTGTGTGTGTGGGTGTGTGTGTGTATGCCACGCCCCCTCTGTTTAATATGCAATCCGTTGGTTTTGAGTGTCTCTATGTGTCGTGCTGTCAGTTTCCATTACAAACACGAGAGCGACGAGACTGTGCGACACTTTATTATACTTGTCGTGTGTACACCCTGTAGAGGTGCTGGCCGCATGGGGTATGATAAAATATATAGACAGTATGTTAAGGTATGTTAAGGAGTTGCCAAATAGATTTGTGGATACAATTTTGTTTGTTATTATGAATAAACTGTCTTTTAACAATAGAAAATTAACCTGCGTTACCCGGGCTTAGTAATAAGATAGGTTAAAAATACAAGTTTTATCGAAATTTGTTGTGAAATTCGCAACAGATTTGGAACTTTTATAAAGCCAATCAAATATAATATATATTTTTTATTACGGGGGTTCGATACTCAAACTTTGTGCTAAGCTCAACACGCTGGTTCAAACCAGTCAATTAATTTCTATTTAATTTTATTACCTAATTATATATATACATATTTATATATTTTTTTTTTAAAAGAAATTAAAAAACAACTTAAAAGACAAAAAATTGGTGTTGAGTTTGAACCAGCGACCTTACAATTAGTTTATTTGAAGCCAATGTTCAAAACATAATAATCTTATAATGTACTTAAGCTATGCAGTTGAATTGATTTTTATTTTTTTCGTGTTAAATTTGTTGTAAATTAAAAATTTGCGCTGGGTTGGAACCAGCGACCTTTCATATTGTTTATTTGATGCAACTTTTCAGAACATAGCATACCACTTGACATACTTAGCTATGCGGTTGAATGTATTTTCTGTTCAATTATTTGGAAATTAAAGCTGTAGTCTGAGTTTGAACCAGCGACCTGTCGCTTGTTTGTCCGACGCTCAGTCACCTAAGCCAAGCAGGCGCTTAACATCTCTTTTGCAGGATATTCAAAGTGCTATCAAGTTATTTCTCAGACTGCCACTAGTTGATATCGATCAATCTATATTCTATTTAGCCATGCATTGCCTGAAATTGTCACATTGAATGAAAGAATGTCACGCCAGTTGGCATTAATAATAAATAATATTAACAATAATGTTGCATATGAATATAAATCTAAATCAAGACAACGCGGCACGTCAAATGCCTGTGCATTGTGTGAGGGGTGGGGTGGAGTAACAATATGCTCACTATATAGTGTGCTTAAG